TCTCTCTCTCTCTCTCTCTCTCTCTCTCTCTCTCTCTCTCTCTCTCTCTCTCTCTCTCTCTCTCTCTCTCTCTCTCTCTCTCTAGCTGTGTGTGTGTGTCCCACACAAACACAGACATGCACTCCCTGTAGTTTTTTTTTTTTTTTTTTTTTTTTTTTAACTCAAAACATTAATATCGTTCCCAACAGAAGATCGAGGCCGGGGACCTCACAATTCAACCGGGGGTATCTGACAGCATCAGCCAGCTTAGCTTACAGGCACAGGCATGCAAAGAGGAACTCTTATCCTATTTTCAAATTCCAATAGCTTACCTGAGCAGCTTCTGTCCAAGAGGAAACCTACCTCCTCTGAGAATAATGTCGTCACTACAGCCGAACCGGCTTTCTCTCTTGGTACTATTTCCACACTTGCATTACGTAGCTGAAATGATATCCTGGATTGGATCCGAAATTGTGCTACCCCTGGGACTAAGGCAGCCCAGAGGACTTTCCCGAACCTACCGGCCCTCTCGAAGTGGCCCACAACGACAGTGATCAACCGAGTGCCCTGGTTGTTGCTAAAACTTCCCTGGACCCATTCTACACTCAGAGCCTAACTGCTCTGCTGTTCCTACCCATATCCAGAGCCCATCAAGAAATGGTAAGTCCACGGCTGGCGTGATCAGCGGCCAACCTATTTCCTACCCAGATGCAGAGCTCCGCGTGCGCAGAAACCAGATTTTTTGTTTCCTGCTTCCCTTCCAAGCTCTATTTGTTTTCCCCCACAAAAGCAGCCTGGTTCAGTGTTGAATATTTAGAATTTGCAAAACATGTCAGACATTTCTCCCCTACTTGTTGCATGTCACACTTATCCCGCCCCCACCTCCCCTGGCCCAACTCCGCCTTCTCTCCCACTCTCTCTCTCTCTCTTTGTTTCATTTTGTGTTATTATTTTGAAAAACAAACATTATTTACAAGACTTCAACTATTTTCAAGATTTTAGAGACTCTCTAAAGCAGTTTTGTAGGACCGTTTTTTGGACTGATTGGTTGATCAATTGATTGATTGATTGCAGGCATGCAACCAATCAATCAATCAACCAATCAACCAATCATGTGTGTGCGTGTGTSCATATGCGTGTGTGTGTGTGTGTGTGTATGCATGTGCGTGGATCAATCAATCAATCAACCAACCAACCAACCAACCAATCAACCAATCATGTGTGTGCATGTGCATGGATTGAATGCATGCGCACACAATGAACGTGGGCAACCTCGGGCAAAGGTGCTTCTTGGCCTTTAACAGTTCTGGGAACACTTTTCGATGTGTGGTTGTGTGTATCTGTGACTTTGTCTGTGTGCGCTTGCGTGTGTCTGTGACAATGTACGTGTGTGTCTGTGTGTGTCTGTGTATGTGTGTGTCTGTGTGTGTCTAACTGTGTTCTTGCATGCGTCTGTCTGTGTGTAAACACGACTGGCACAAGCGAAAGTGATTAAATGCGTCTGTCTATGTGTGTATCTGTGTCTGTGTGCGCGTCGTTGTTTGTGTCTGTGTGTGTGCCTCTGTGTGTGTGTGGCAGGCAAGGCAAAGGTGCTTGTAGGCCTTAAACACTCTTGGACCACTTTCAGGCCTCTGTCTTTATGTGTTTGTCTGTGTGTCTGTGTTTGTGTGTGTGGTTGTCTCTATGTGCGTGGTTGTGTGTATCTGTCTGTGTGTATGTGTACCTGTGTGTGCGCGTGTGTGTGTGTGTGTGTGTGTGTGTGTGTGTGTATCTGTGTGTTCTTGTGTGTGTGGTTGTGTGCGTTTGTGCCTGTGTGTGTTTGCTTGTGTGTGTGTGATTGTGTCTGTCTGTGTGTGTCTAACTGTGTCCTTTTGTGCGTGTGTCTATGTGTAAACTCGACTGACACAGACGAAAGTGATTATAGGCCTATAACAGTTTTGGGGAATGTCACTTTGTGTGTGTGTGCTTGTCTTAGTCTGTGCCAGTGTACACACTCAAAGACACACACGAAAACATACACAAACACACATAAACGCATGCACATGAAAACACGGACACGGGTTGAGTCTGTGTTCGTGTGTGGTACACAAAAAACATACAAACACAGACACGGACTGTGTCTCTGTGCGTGTGTCATTGTATGTGTCTGTGTGCATGTCTGTGTGCGTGTCTGTGTGCGTGTGTCGTTGTGTGTGTCTGTGTCCGTGTGTCTGTGTGTGTCTAACTGTGTCCTTGTGTGCGTGTGTCTGTGTACAAACACGACTAACGCAGGCGAAAGTGATTAAAGGCCTCTGATAGTTCTGGGGAAATTTTTCGACACTTCAAGCCTGTGTCTTTATGTTTGTGTGTGTCTGTGTGCCTGCGTTCTTGTGTGTGTGACTCCCAGTGTGCGTCTGTGTGTACCTCTGTTTGTGTGTGTGTCTGTGTCTATGTGTCTGTGTTTGCGTACTTGAGGCTGGTGCATCTAACCCATCAATCAATCAACCAATCAACCAATCATGTGTGTGTATGTGCACATGCGTGTGTGTGTGTGTGTCTGCGTGTGTGTGTGTGTGCCTGCGTGTCTGTGTATGTCTGTGTGCCTGTGTTCTAGTGTGTGAGCCTCTGAGTGTGCGTCTGTGTTTGTATGTGTCTGTGTGCGCGTGGTTGTTTGTGTCTGTATGTGTGCCTCTGTGTGTGTGGCAGGCAAGGCAAAGGTGTTTGCAGGCCTACAACACCTTTGGGAGCATTTGCAGACCCCTGTCTTTATGTGTGTCTGTGTGTGTGTTTGTCTGTGTGTTTGGGTCTGTGTGTGTGGCTGTCGGTGTGTGAGTGGTTGTGTCTGTGAGTTTGTGTGTGTATGTGTGTCTGAGCACATGTGTGTGTGTGTCTGTGTGTGTGTATCTGTGCGTTCTTGTGTGTGTGGTTGTGTGCGTCTGTGCCTGTGTGCATTTGGTTGTGAGTGTGTGGTTGTGTCTGTCTGTGTGTGTCTAACTGTGTCCCTGTGTGCGTGTGTTTGTCTGTAAACTCGACTGGCACAGACGAAAGTGATTACAGGCCTTCAAGTGATTATAGGCCTATAACACTGTTTTGTTAACCCGACACACCTTGTGAGAGAGAGAGAGAGAGAGAGAGAGAGAGAGAGAGAGAGAGAGAGAGAGAGAGAGAGAGAGAGAGAGAGAGAGAGAGTGGTCGTCTACCCGAATGAAAATGAGAGGGTTATCAAAATTAAGCTTTAGAAAAAAGAAAAAGTGCGACAAAAGAACTAAACCAAATCCGACAAAAGAACTAAACCATAAATGCTCCACTAAGTCACTCCACGACGTCCACGTGTAAACTAAAGTGCCACAATGTACCGAAAACTACCACACCTGTGTCGAGTGCCCCTGGGTGGACTTCCCCAGGCCTCGTTCCTCTAAATGCCTACAATGTACAATGGAACACATGGTTCCCAGTAATGATGACACTCTAAAAATTGTCGACCTATTGCGGTCTGACCCACGAATCGAGTGCGCCTAGTTCCCACTTCCACGACCTAAAAAGGAAAAAGCTAGCCTACTCTACACAATAACAGTTCTGCAAAAAACAAAGCCATGTGCGAAACCACACAACTCCAACGACAAAGGAACGACGACCAATCCTGGGAGAGGCAAACTAAAGTACCCCCTGTCCCCGAAAACTACCACACCTGTGTCGAGTGTCTCTGGGTCAACCTCCCCAGGCCTCGTTCCCCTAAATGGCTACAATGCACAACGGAACACATGGTTCCCATAAATGATGGCACTCTCAAAATTGTTGACCTACTGCGGTCTGAACCACGAACCGAGTGCGCCTGGTTCCCACTTCCACGACTTAAAAAACAAAAAGCTAGCCTACTCTACACAACAACAGTTCTGCAGAAAACAAAGCTATGTGCCAAACCACACAGCCAAACTAGACAGCTCCAACCAATCCTGGGAGAGGCATCCAGGCAAAGCAGCACACACTCCGACGACGCAGGCAAAGCAGCACACACTCCAACGACCGGTCCTGGGAGACATCCACGCAACGCAGCACACACCACAAGAGACTCGTGTACGAATAAAGCTTGGTTTCTCTTCTCGCACCAATTGCGCAACTCCTAGGCCACAAACCACAGGAATCCTCATTTTGACCATGCGATGCTAACAGGAGACTCGTGAACGAATAAAGTTTGGTTTCTCCTCTCGCACCGATTGTGAGAGGCGCAATCCTTGCTACATGGATCGTTGTCGATCCTGCTTCGGCTCTTTGACCGGAATGTACCAAGCAAATCATTATTGGACGCCAACAAACGGCATCTCCTGGACCTTTTGTCATCATCGCTGACGATCCGTGGTTTGAGGCTACACATGGTGAAAAGAAGAAGCGGAAGGAGAAAATGCGACCAAGACGGGAGAGTTGCCAGAACACGAAACTGACAGAGGTTTGAGGCCACACATGTAATATAGGCCTATATCGCAAGTGCATATCCACACATGACATATAGGCCTATATCCAAAGGATATGTTGTCGCCTCAGTCACTTCGCAGTCCGTGAGCAAGTATTGGCCTTCAGGCCAATCGTAAGTCTGCCTTGTGGACTCGATACCTCTTCACCGTCCGCCTTTGGTTTGCGCCCCTTCCTGCCGCCAGCCGTGGTTCTGTCCGATTCTTGGCTCATGGCGAGGCTCGAGAAGTCTGGTGATCATTTGTGGAAGCGGGAACAACCTCGGCTGCAGGTTGCGTCTCAGCCTCGGGTCCAGCGTCGGGAACAACGTCAGGAACAGGCACGGAAACCGACTCACCGGAAACAGGTGGCTGCTCACCGGCCTGTCCGGCAGCATGTTCAGCAGCCTCAACATATGGCCAGAAGCGGTTTTCTGCACACTTGACGGCCCGCTAACGACTGTTGCGCCCTCCCCGGCGATCTGCGCCACTCTAGCAGTAGTGTCTGTGTCTCCATCGACGCCAAGCTCATTTTCGACAAACTTCGCGTCCCCAGACAAGTTCGACGGTGGGCTGCCTTGCGATGCCTTTTGCTTCCTCTTTGGTGTTTCACGTGCAAGTGTGCCGCCGATGTCTGTCAAAAGCCTTGTGGCGATGCCCTTAGCGCACTTGGTGTTTATCTCCACCACGAGACAATTCTGATTCGCCTTGACACATGGAATGACGCCTGTGCCGGAACCAGAGAAACCGTCCAGAATGCAGGCCCCATCAGGAGAAAACTCGTTCACAAGCCACGAGTACAAAGCGTGGGGCTTCTGGTACGGGCAAAGGACACCACCACCAGGGTGCTGATACTTCTGCATCACAGCATTGAAGAGTTGGAAATTGTGACGCGGATCCGTGGGATCAAAATTATTGTGCGCCATCTCGCGCTGCCCAGTCTCGCTGTAATAGCCCAACACGCAGAATTTCGTGGCACTCACAAGGAGGGGTCCACCGGGATTCGTTACATTAGGCTTGCACCAAGTCAAAAGCTCCTGCCCTACATTGCAAACTTCCCGGAAGGCGGAGCGAATGGAAGGAAGCATGTCCACCGAGCAGAATCCCGCAACTGTCCACAGGGGGGCACTGGAGACGTCCTTCAGATTGTGAAGACCCTCCACGACGTCCGACTCCGGAAACGGCTCGTTATCATATGCATGTCCGTCGTGAGAGAAGTCGTAAGGGAAATCGAAAATAGCCAGAGATATCGGCAGCTTCTCTGTCTGCATCTTCGACAGAAACCTCATGTCGTCGTTGATAATCTTCACTTCCGCCGAGGTGTTCTCGTGTGCCACCTCCGTCCAGTCGACGAAAGGTTCCATGAGAGGTTTTGAACGGAACGCATGAAGATCCTCCTTTGCTTGAAGTCTCCTCTCCTTGTTCTTCCATTCCAAAGCCCGTTTAATATGGCGATCTAGTGCGGGGATACTCGTCTGACCCCTCCTGACGCCACCGGCGAACTTCTCCAAAAGTTCTTTCTTCGTGTGGAGAGGAAACCGTCTCTCGGCCTCCTTAAAGTCAACAGCACCCACGCCAACAGCGAATGCCTTGCAGACGTAGGCGACTTGCTTGACAACCTGGAACTTCTTCTCCATCTCCTTGAGCGAGATCTGCTTCGCAATGACCTCAAGGAGGATAGGGAGGACATGCTCTGGAGCTTTACTGCCCATGACTATCAAGTGTTGCGATGGCATATCGTCGGCGACCACGGGCACTTTGTTACCCTACATTTGCACCCGATGATACAGAAGGGTCATTTCTTGCTCCTTTGCAACTGCCGTTTCGAGCCTCTTCCCACGCTGCCTTTTTTTCGCGCCCTCCGACTCGCTCGATTCCAAATCCTGGTCCAGTTTCAAGATGCTCTTCGCTGCCGGCTTCAATTTTTGGCCTTTGACCTCACCCTTCTGCCACATGTTCATGATCTTGCACACGAGCTCCCAAATTTCTTTGGGTTTGAAAGCGCACTGCAGAAACGGGTCTTGGGCGTTCAATTTCTTAGCCGCGTTCGAAATCATTGCTTCTTTTAGGCAGGCGAGTTTTACTTCCTGTGACTTGACGCACCCCATGCGCTCGAAGACTTGACACCAACACCTGAGCTTCTCGATGAAGTTGTAATCCCGGTGGTAGCCCTCCATAAGGTTATGCATGTGGGCAACCTGCCTCGCCTCGTCAAGCGTAAGGCCAACGTAAACGTAACAGACATTGTACTTGTACTCCTCGTTGTCGGGGTTCATGCGTGCTAACTGCTCCCTCGCCTCCCGACTATGGTTGCCACCAAGCACAATGTCGTAGTCCTGTCTCTTATACACATCTAGATGTGTATAAGAGACAGGGGTTCATGCGTGCTAACTGCTCCCTCGCCTCCCGACTATGGTTGCCACCAAGCACAAAAATGTTGTAGTCGCCGACTCTCAACCTCGCCAAATTCACGTTTTCTTTGCGCCTTGCTTTGACAGGGTCGACGAGGCCGACGAAGGGAAGATGATCTCCCGTGGGGTGCTTCAGCATGGAGTCCATGATGGACTGCACATGATCCTCGTCCAGCTCTCGCACCTCCAATGGTCTTTTCCCATTCACAAGGGGTGGCCTTTTCAAGCAACTCATTGGAAGGTAAAAAGACTCATACGCGAGTTTCTTCTCCTTCAAACTCTTCAGCTCCTCCCAAGTTTTCGTCAAATCCTCTGTACGCTCGCTCGGCACAAAACTTTGGGGAACCTGGAACTCCTCTTCCTTCACCTTCTCCTTCCCTTTCGGTTCCTTCGACGGATCCAATGTGACTCCTTGCTTCTTAGCAGTCTGCGTTGTGCCCGATCCCCTTTCCAAACAACCTGAAGACTAAACAACGGTAGCAAGAGAAACCACATTGCGATGCTGCGACCTCGCTTTCGAGCCACCCCTCATGGTCATCGTGGTCGTTGGAGTTTGAGATTTTTCTTCTTCCTCTGCGCACTTCAAAGAAAGAAGTTTCTCGTCTACATTCGGCATCAAAAAATCAGAAAGTCCTTCCACAAAAGGCTGCGCAACAGAAAAAGCAATGGTGGATGAATTGTGTCAGAGAAACTCATAGGCTTATAACTCAGTAAGCGAAAGACACATGGTAGAAGTGGAAGTTATAGGGCTATAACTTCTGGCAACGGATGCGCAGTGGAAGTTATAGGGTTATAACTTCCGGCTGCGGTTGCGTTGTGGAAGTTATAGGGCTATAGCTTCCGGCCGCGGATGCGCAGTGCAAGTTATAGGCCTATATCTTCCGGCAGCGGATGCACAATGAAATTTATAGCCCTATAACTTCCACTGCACATCCGTCCCTTATAGAAGTTAAACCGCTACAACTTCCGGCAGCAGATGAGCAGCGGGAGTTAGGGACCTGAAACTTCCGTTGCGCATCCAATGCCGGAAGTTAGAGGGCTTTAACTTCCACTGCGCATCTGTTGCCGGGAGTTATAGCCCTATAACTTCCACTTCCCATCCGTCGCTTGTAACTCCCGGCAATGGAAGTTCTGGGCCTAAAACTTCCACTGCGCATCCGCTGCCGGAAGTTGTAGCCCTATAACGTCTACAAGCGACAGATGCCCCTGAAAGTTACAAGCCTGTAACTTTCCGCAACGAGACAAACACTGTGGAAGTTACAGACCTCTAACGTTGTGAAACTTGAAGATTGTGGGCCGAGAAAGATGAAGTCATTTGACTTCTACATGCGTAAGCCGCGCTGTGGACATCAAAGGCCTGCAACTTCAACGAAACAGAGTGAAACTTGCTGATAAAGAACTTCCAGAAAAAACGGATAAGCAGTGAGACGTTTAAGAAGGATTAAAGCATTTACCTTGCAACCCATCTTGTTAATGTCAATAGCCTTCTATTTTGGATGGGTATCTTCATGGGCATTAATTTGTCCCCCTTCAAAAGACATTTGATAAGCTTTTTCTTGATGACGACCCAAACTCTGCCAAAAGATATTTCTCTGTGACGTGCGTCGCAAATAAACTCTCGCCAATTTCGAGATAAACGTCGTTGCTGCCGGTCTTGACGTGAAGGAGAGCAATACAGGTTGTGATGTACACGGCCCAAAAGAAATACTTGAAGTCGGTGCGAACAGGCCTCGACACCAGGAACTCTTTTTGCCAACTACCATCCTCCTCCATTGAATCTTCTTCTTCTCCTTCCTCGTCCTCTCCTTCTTCTTCTTCTTCGGCTTCTTTGTCATTTTCTACTTCTTCCTCTTTTGCGCCTTCTTCTTCCTCTTCCTCTTCCTCATGCTCTCCTTCGTCTTCCTTCCATGGGCCTCCTGCTTCGTCGTACTCTCCTTCTTCTTCGAGAACTTTTCTTGATCTCCTTCTTCCGAATGGGGAAGATCTTCCTCTCCCCCTTTGTCAGAGACGACGTCATACTCCGGTGGCTGCCTCTTCTGCACAACCCCTCCGGAACACGCCGGCTGCCCCCGAGAAGACATTGTGCCGGCTGGTCTGGAACTTCTCGCCTTACTTGCACCCCTCGCGCCCTGGGATGACTTCATCGTTGCGAATGAACTGCACACACAGAGGCATGGGCGAGAGTGGTTTTAGGTCTCTAACACTTTTGCAGCACTTGCAGGCGTAAAAGTTAGTGCAAAAACACAAACGCTGAAACAAACAACCATAAAACCACCAACGTGTGTGTCTGTGTGTGTTTGCGTCCGTCTGTGTGTCTTTGTGCATCTATGTGTGTGCTTGTGTGCGTATACTGGCACAGACTGACACAAGCACACATACACAAAGTCACATTCCCCATGCGCACACAACACAAACACAAACAAACACGCACACACAGACACACACAGACACAGAGGCACACTCAGAGGCACACACACACAAACAGACACGCAAACACAGATACACACAGAAACAGAGATTCGCGCAGACACACACACACACATAAAGACACAGGCTTGAATTGCTTAAAAGTATTCCCAAAACAGTACATCTGTGTGTGTGTCTGTGTGCGTATATTGTGTCTATGTCTGTGAGTGTATGTCTGTCTGTGTCTAGTGTCTGTTTCTGTGAGTATATGTCTGTCTGCGTCTTTGTGCCTTCATTTTTGCGTCCTGTCTACGTGTGTTTGCGTGCGTCTGTGTGTGTCTATGTGCATCTGTATGTGTCTCTGTGTGCGTACACTGGCACAGACTAACACAAGCACACACACACAAAGTCACATTCCCCAGAACTGTTATAGGCCTATACTTACTTTCGTCTGTGCCAGTCGAGTTTACACACAGATACACGCACACAAGGACAAAGTTAGACACACATAGACAGACACAACCACACACACACAACCAAACACACAGGCACAGACGCACACAACCACACAGACACACACACACACACACACACACACACACACACACATATAAAGAAAGAGGCCGGAAAGTGGTCCCAAAAGTGTTTAAGGCCTAAAAGCACCTTTGCCTTGCCTGCCACACACACACAGAGGAACACACACAGACACAAACAACCACGCGTACACAAACACACACAGACACAGACGCACACTCAGAGGCTCACACACACACACACAGACACGCAGGCACAAACAGACACACAAACAGAGATTCACATAGACACACACACACACACATTGCTTAAAAGTATTCCCAGAACAGTGCATATGTGTGTGTGCATCTGTGTGCTTACATTGTGTTTGTGCCTGAGAGCGTGTATCTGTCTATGTCTTTGTGCCTTCGTTCTTGCGTCCTGTCTGCGTGTGTTTGTGTGCGTCTGTGTGTGTCTATGTGCATCTGTGTGCGTACACTGGCACAGACTAACACAAGCACACACACACGAAGTCACATTCCCCATAACTGTCTTAGGCCTGTAATCACTTTCGTCTGTGTCAGTCGAGTTTACACACACACACACACGCACACACACACACACACACACACGCGCACACACACAGACACACACACACACAGACACACATAAAGACAGAGGCCTGAAAGTGGTTCCAAAAGTGTTTCAGGCCTACAAGCACCTTTGCCTTGCCTGCCACACACACACACAGGCACACACAGACACAAACAACCACGCGCACACAGACACACACAGACGCAGACGCACGCTCAGAGGCACACACACACACACACAGGCACGCACATACAGACACACACAAACAGAGATTCACACAGACACACACACACACACACATAAAGACACAGGCTTGAATTGCTGAAAAGTATTCCCAGAACGGTGTCCTGTCTATGTTTTTGTGCCTTCGTTCTTGTGTCCTGTCTGCGTGTGTTTGCGTGCGTCTGTGTATGTCTTTGTGCATCTGTGTGTGTGTCTGTGTGCGTACATTGGCACAGACTAACACAAGTCACATTCCCTAGAACTGTTATAGGCCTATAATCACTTTCGTCTGTGTCAGTCGAGTTTACACACAGACACACGCACACAAGGACACAGTTAGACACACACAGACAGACACAACCACACACATATAACCAAACACACAGGCACAGACGCACACAACCGCACAGACACACACACAGACACACACACAGACACACACACACGCGCAGACACACACACACACACACACACAGACACACACACACACAGACACACAGACACACAAACACACATAAAGGCAGAGGCCTGAAAGTGGTCCCAAAAGTGTTTAAGGCCTACAAGCACCTTTGCCTTGCCTGCCACACCTTTGCCTTGCCTGCCACACACACACACAGGCACACACATAGACACAACCACGCGCACACAGACTCACATGCACACTCAGAGGCACACATACAAGAACACAGACACACACACACACACACAGATA